CCATCTTGTCTAAGCCAGATTCTTCACATTGTAGTATTCAGGAGGCCTTCGTTCTAGGAACTTCCAGGATCGCTCAGGTGGTTTGTTGTTGGCTTCAGAAGCAGATGACTCAGCTCCTTTCACAGAAGTTACATCACTCTTGTATACAGGATCTCAACCTGCATGGAAACTTGTTAATGTTAGTAAAATAAAATGACCACTTCTGGGTCAAATCCTGGCATGAACATATATGTCATAACTCAAGGTTACTTTGTGTAATAATGTACACAACACATAGAAATGTTAGGTGCGCTATAAACAGGAAGACAGGGGTTGATTATGTCAGATCCCCTGTAGTAAAAAGCACTTTAACCTTTCACGCAATTAAACTTCATTTGAAAAGATAAGAACTTGCCAATACAGCACAATTTCTATGGTTGTACTCACTTTATATCCCACATTCTCTTACTTGGAATAAAGTGACTCAGCACTTCGGAACAGCAGCCGTCTTTATTTTGTGCTGTGTCACGAAGCAAGTTTAGTCGGCCTTAATCACACAAAAGTGGTGTCAGGTTCAGCTGAGGTTTGTGCTGAGTCATTGTTGTGACTCAGCATTCCACAGTCTCAAGGGCCGAGTCTTGTGACCGAAGGATGTGTCTGACGGCAACTTCACACCTCAGGGCTCAGCCGGCTGGAACCGGTTTGAGGGGAAAAAAAGGAACCTGAAACAAGATGGGATTTTACTGAATGATGATGTTGCTGATTTAAACAAAGTGTGTCTGCTGGACTTGACCACTAAAAACCTCTTCTAGAATGACAGTAAACTCAAAAGCAAGTTAGGCTTCTCTGTATTTTGGATCTCATTGACCTTTTTTCCTGAATGAGCATCAATTAACTGACCAACAGGCCGGAGTAACCATCCATAACGCCGTGCACTACTCTGGAGAAAAACACAAGTTTTTTATAAATCTCCAAATTGGGATATGATTGATTTTAATTATGTTTTTTATACAGCGAGACACCACAGAGTCCTTCTCTGGAAACACACACACACACACACACACACGCACACACACACACACACACACACACACACACACATTTCAGTGTGAACTTGGACATGGAAACAAACTCACAAGGAATGTTTGTGCCTCAGCAAACAGGTTACAGTATAATGAACAGTGATACAGGTGTGCAGTACATGTCTAGACTGCGTTCACACACGATTGATCATTTTTCAGTCATTAACAGAATTCTAAGGCAGATGTGGTTTCAGTTTGCAGACTAAACAAAGGGATGTATTGTCGTAAAAAACAAATGCAACAGACATTTATATTTGAATGAAACAATCTGCTATTGTACCTCTGATACTTTGTCACTTCCAAATATATATATATATATATATACAGTGGTCAGCCACCAATTGTGCAAGTTCTCCCACTTAAAAAGATGAGAGATGCCTGTAATTTTCATCATAGGTACACTTCAACTATGAGAGACAGAATGGGGGGAAAGAATCCAGGAAATCACATTGTAGGATTTTTAATGAATTAATTGGTAAATTCCTCGGTAACATAAGTATTTGGTCACCTAAAAACAAGCAAGATTTCTGGCTCTCACAGACCTGTAACTTCTTCTTTAAGAGGCTCCTCTGTCCTCCACTCGTTACCTGTATTAATGGCACCTGTTTGAACTCGTTATCAGTATAAAAGACACCTGTCCACAACCTCAAACAGTCACACTCCAAACTCCACTATGGCCAAGACCAAAGAGCTGTCAAAGGACACCAGAAACAAAATTGTAGACCTGCACCAGGCTGGGAAGACTGAATCTGCAATAGGCTCCACGCAAGATCTCACCCCGTGGGGTCAAAATGATCACAAGAACGGTGAACAAAAATCCCAGAACCACACGGGGGGACCTAGTGAATGACCTGCAGAGAGCTGGGACCAAAGTAACAAAGGCTACCATCAGTAACACACTACGCCGCCAGGGACTCAAATCCTGCAGTGCCAGACGTGTCCCCCTGCTTAAGCCAGTACATGTCCAGGCCCGTCTGAAGTTTGCTAGAGAGCATTTGGATGATCCAGAAGAGGATTGGGAGAATGTCATATGGTCAGATGAAACCAAAATAGAACTTTTTGGTAAAAACTCAAGTCGTCGTGTTTGGAGGAGAAAGAATGCCGAGTTGCATCCAAAGAACACCATACCTACTGTGAAGCATGGGGGTGGAAACATCATGCTTTGGGGCTGTTTTTCTGCAAGGGGACCAGGACGACTGATCCGTGTAAAGGAAAGAATGAATGGGGCCATGTATCGTGAGATTTTGAGTGGAAACCTCCTTCCATCAGCAAGGGCATTGAAGATGAAACGTGGCTGGGTCTTTCAGCATGACAATGATCCCAAACACACCGCCCGGGCAACGAAGGAGTGGCTTCATAAGAAGCATTTCAAGGTCCTGGAGTGGCCTAGCCAGTCTCCAGATCTCAACCCCATAGAAAATATATGTATATGTGTATATATATATATATGTGTGTGTATATGTGTATATATGTGTATGTGTATATACAGTGGGTACGGAAAGTATTCAGACCCCTTTAAATTTTCCACTCTTTGTTTCATTGCAGCCATTTACTAAAATCAAAAAAGTTCATTTTATTTCTCATTAATGTACACTCAGCACCCCAACTTGACAGAAAAAAACAAATGTAGAAATTTTTGCAAATTTATTAAAAAAGAAAAACTGAAATATCACATGGTCATAAGTATTCAGACCCTTTGCTGTGACACTCATATTTAACTCACATGCTGTTCATTTCTTCTGATCCTCCTTGAGATGGTTCTACTCCTTCATTGGAGTCCAGCTGTGTTTAATTAAACTGATTGGACTTGATTAGGAAAGGCACACACCTGTCTATATAAGACCTTACAGCTCACAGTGCATGTCAGAGCAAATGAGAATCATGAGGTCGAAGGAACTGCCCAAGGAGCTCAGAGACAGAATTGTGGCAAGGCACAGATCTGGCCAAGGTTACAAAAGAATTTCTGCAGCACTCAAGGTTCCTAAGAGCACAGTGGCCTCCATAATCCTTAAATGGAAGAAGTTTGGGACGACCAGAACTCTTCCTAGACCTGGCCGTCCAGCCAAACTGAGCAATCGTGGAAGAAGAGCCTTGGTGAGAGAGGTAAAGAAGAACCCAAAGATCACTGTGGCTGAGCTCCAGAGATGCAGTAGGGAGATGGGAGAAAGTTCCACAAAGTCAACTATCACGGCAGCCCTCCACCAGTCGGGGCTTTATGGCAGAGTGGCCCGACGGAAGTCTCTCCTCAGTGCAAGACATATGAAAGCCTGCATAGAGTTTGCCAAAAAACACATGAAGGACTCCCAGACTATGAGAAATAAGATTCTCTGGTCTGATGAGACCAAGATTGAACTTTTTGGCGTTAATTCTAAGTGGTATGTGTGGAGAGAACCAGGCACTGCTCATCACCTGCCCAATACAATCCCAACAGTGAAACATGGTGGTGGCAGCATCATGCTATGGGGGTGTTTTTCAGCTGCAGGGACAGGACGACTGGTTGCAATTGAAGGAAAGATAAATGCGGCCAAGTACAGAGATATCCTGGAAGAAAACCTCTTCCAGAGTGCTCTGGACCTCAGACTGGGCCGAAGGTTGACCTTCCAACAAGACAATGACCCCAAGCACACAGCTAAAATAACAAAGGAGTGGCTTCGGAACAACTCTGTGACCATTCTTGACTGGCCCAGCCAGAGCCCTGACCTAAACCCAATTGAGCATCTCTGGAGAGACCTGAAAATGGCTGTCCACCAACGTTCACCATCCAACCTGACGGAACTGGAGAGGATCTGCAAGGAAGAATGGCAGAGGATCCCCAAATCCAGGTGTGAAAAACTTGTTGCATCATTCCCAAGAAGACTCATGGCTGTACTAGCTCAAAAGGTGCTTCTACTCAATACTGAGCAAAGGGTCTGAATACTTATGACCATGTGATATTTCAGTTTTTCTTTTTTAATAAATTTGCAAAAATTTCTACATTTGTTTTTTTCTGTCAAGATGGGGTGCTGAGTGTACATTAATGAGAAATAAAATGAACTTTTTTTGATTTTAGCAAATGGCTGCAATGAAACAAAGTGAAAAATTTAAAGAGGTCTGAATACTTTCCGTACCCACTGTATATGTGTATATGTGTATATTAGTATTCTGAAGACTTTTTTTATCCAAGGCTCTGCTTCCTACGGAAGCCCTGACAGGCAGGTGTGAATATTATTTCCATTTTCTAAGTCTGATCTAAATTGTTTATGACTGAAGAACAGATGTTTTCCCTAATGGCAGATTAGCGTCGACTAAAAAACACGACAAATTCAAACTCACTTGGAAGAAAACAGTGCTTTTAGTCGTATTTAAAACATGTGGGAGCAGGCATTCTGTCATGTTGTTGTATGGTCTGACCTAAACTTGAACACATTTGGCACAATGTCAGTGTAACACTGTGACAGCTCCAGCTCCAATGGATGTTTCCCATGTCTGAGATATCTTTTAATTATCAATAAATCCTGTCGGAACACCAAAACCAACAATGATCCGATGAGCTGGAAGAATCTGTGTAGACTTCCTTCATTGTCTTCTTGACAATGAAGGAAGGACTTGGCTCTGTGTTTATACTGCTTCACTAGTTTGAGGTGAGCGGAATAATCAACACTGATCGTCTCTATGGTCAAGAAGGCAGATGTAATGAACGCTCCCCCGTTGTAGACGATTCCCGTTTTAGTATAAGTGACAATTTGATTTAATGCTATGTTAATACATCAGCCAGCACGTGGATCTGAAAGTATTTCTATTTTAAGTAGAAATGTTTCCTGTATTTATAAGTGCTTTCAGATTTATTTTCTCAAAGTGAATCTTATGTTCTCATTCTGCTCACTCACTCGTAACCCGTTAATAATAAATCCCAGCTGATCACGTCCTTCCGTCTCTGATGCTGATCTGATGTTAAGAGCATTTTGAAGGAGACTCAACATGTAGTTGCATTTTGTTTTATTATATTTCAAACAGATAACAGGACAGTTTCATATTTTAACTTCATTTTAAAGTTGCATGTTCATTTATAAAGTATTTCATAAGATCTCGGGGCTGTTGAAACCGCAAGCTGTTGACAATGTACTTTTATGATATCAATTTCCTTGGTTGTAACATTTCCATGATTATAAAAAGTATGTTAACTTCTGTTTCTTTGATCTTGTTGATGAGGTGGACCTTTGGGTTTAGTCTCTGTGGCTGGCTGCTTGGTTCCACATTTCTGTACTTCATACAACTTCCTACTGGGCCATAAAATGTTGGAATAAATCTCTGAATCACAGGACTCCACAAAAACATGAATAAGAAATTGTGGAAAAAACAAAAAGGAGCCATCTGAGTTGACAAAGTCAACAGGTGTCATCTAGATTTGGTCACAGCTCATTTTTTTTATCCTTCCTGTCAAATCTACATCCTACATTCACACTTTAACTCTACAGGCTGATGTTAAAACGGTGGAAATCTGCAACTCTTCTCTCCCCCTATCTAGCTTTCCTGTCACCTTCCCCCTTTCATTCTCGTATTTTCATGCAGTCGGTATCCAGACACTCTTCCACTGAATGGCGCTTCTCCACGTCTCCTCCAGGAGAGAGGGGTGAGACTGAGCCCAGTCCTTCCCTCCATCCTCCTTCTGGCAGGACAGGCACAGGGTCTTCAGAGGGCTGGTGCAGGAGTACTGGAGGTACTGACAGCCCTACGGAAGGAACACAGAGAGCCGGGGTGAAGATCATAGTATGTGGGCGGCGCTACTGTTCATTTCGAAGGGAAGACTTAATCGAACCCCCACGCCTCTTTTCTCCCAAGTTGAAATTTGAACACTGGTGCATGTGTTGGTGTTTAGTGCTCACCTCAGCACTGCCCCAGTACCAGATGGCCTTGATGACGCTGTGAGTAGCCAGGGCCACTGTCAGCTGGTCTCTACTTCCCGTAATGATGTTTACCAACCCTGCTGGCAGGTCTGAAGACTGGAGCACCTGAGGAGGAAGAGGAAGAGGAAGATCAGTGTTTATAGATACATACACACACTCACTCGCTCTCGTATTTGGCTACTATTTTGTGGTAAAAGCTTTAATTGTGAAGCATTTTTCTAACTTTTTTCTAACGTTTTGACTAACAGCCCAGCACGTTTAACATCTCGTCACTCGCCTGAATGAACGCCAAGGCCGGTAGTGGATACTTCTGACCGGGGACCATGACGACGGCGTTGCCATTGCCGACGGCTGCCCCGAGAAGTGTCACCATGGAGAGGAGGGGAGTGTTGTCGGGGAGGACGATCCCCACGACTCCCAGGGCTTCAGGGAGGGAGAGAGCAGAGCCACACTGTGGCAGAGGCTGGAGGAGAGCGACACAACAACAAAGACATGCAGGTTATTCATAATTGATCGTCATTAGAGAAGAGTTTTTAGAAACTTTGTATGATATAAAAAAAGCCTCACCGGAGTTCCTCCTTGGACTTTGTCACAGTAAGCCGCCCAATCACTGAGCCTGGCGATGCTGAGCTCCACCTCCTCATCAGCCTTGTCCATTGAGAGGCTGGTCTGAGCATTGATTGATGCTGCTAAGTCCCGCCTCTTGGCCTCCAGCCCCTTGGCCAGAGAGTAGAGAGACTGAGCGCGTGCAGACGGACTCTTTTTCATCCAGCTAGGGGAGGGGACGGATGTTTAGAGAAATAAAGTGGTTTATATGTCTTAACTATTATTTTGGTTAAGACATATAAACTGGGAATGATGGTTAGGAACTGTCCTGCAGACACATTCAGCGAGTAATACTGTTCTTGTAATGGTTTACGTGTACTCGCATGCTGTATGTTTATTGGATTTCAGCATGATCATCATGTGCTTTGTTTATATTCTGCGTATGACTCATTAAATGTCAATGTTGGACTTTGACTGGTGATAAACACACACAGCCGGGTTGTGAAATACTTTGCTGTCTCTGTGGATTGTACTCATGTTTGTCCTTGTGAGCGTCTAAAAACCGGAATTAATGTCTCGAATAAAAAAAGGCCAAATTTCACCTCTGAAAGTTTTCTATGAGCAAAAATGGATTAAAGATCCGTCTAGCCTGAAAAATATGTTTGAAATTTTAAGTAAGAAAAGAAGTGTGTTTATTTAGTGTGGTGAGCAAATGTTGTTGACTTGTTGCTTTTCTATTATTTATCATTACTCAGTTAAATATTTGCCCTTGTTGCAACAGTTTATATTGCCTAGGTATATCCAAATGGACATTGGACATTTAAATGTGTCCACTATGGGCTCTTCGAAAACCCAACAAGTACCTATTTGCAGTGGGCGATTTGTTCATTTTCAACCCCCCCCCCCCTTTGTCAACTCAAAGGGTGTTGAGTTGACAAAATCAACTCAACACCCCCTCTGCCTCTACATGTTCTCTGCTACTAGGGGATGGAGAGGGTGGGATGGCATCGCCTCACATCGCCTACTGCCGCTTTGTGTTTAACCCGACTTGAGAGACTTTGTGTATCTCTGTGTGGTAAAGCTCTCACCCAGGCTGGACTTTGACAGCAGCCTCCACGGCGTTTCGGACGTCTTTTCGGCCTCCATCCGGACAGTAGGCTAAAACACTGCCGCCCCCTGGTGACTGCACAGCCACACTGCAGCCAGACACGGACTTACATGGCTTACCGCCGACAAACTGCAGGTAGACCTTTGGAGTACTGAGGGGTGAGGAGGGAGGAAGAGAGGGATTGAGTGAGGCATGTGGACAGATGTGCATTAAATTACATACTCTTTTTCATTCTGTTCAAACCCAGAATTAAAAAACTAACTTTTTCAATCCGATCAATAACTTTATTCAAATTGAGGATTTTTTTTTATTGTTTTTAAAAGTCAAAAGTTTCAAATAAACAATAAAGACATTTGGTACAGCCCTGATACTAATACTATGTTAATAATGTGCAGCTATGATGCCTTGTGTCACCTTATGAAAACATTATAAACCCACCTGGCAGGGTCTGAGTCATCAGGAATGATAGCCGGGGAGGCTGCTGTTCCAAACTTTGAGTAGTCCATAAAGACAGGGGAGGAGCGAGGAAGAGGAGGGCAGGAAGAGGAGGACGGGCGTAGAAACTGGTACAGACCCTGGAAGACAGCGGAGAGGAGGCAGTTATGTTTGTTCCCGTGGCCGGTGATTAAGTAACGCAGTGAAGGGAGTCGGGACAAAGTCAAAACTGTAAGTGAATACCTCCTGTCCTCCGTCAGTGCAGGTGCCGCTGTCTTTGTGACCAGAGACGGGCAGACAGGGGTCAGACACCGAGTGGGAATTCACCCACACTGAGCCCACTGACAGACTGAGGAGAAGACAACAGCAGACAGGAAACAGATAGAGAGATAGGAAACATTTAGTACAGTGAAGGTTTACAACTAAAAAGAAAAAAGGTGATTGTGGAAGAAGACAAAGAGGAGGGAGAGGAACAGAACAAGTGTGTACCTCTTAGCCGCCTCCAAAGCCAGTGTGAGGTCTTCAGTCCAGATGGAGGCTGCCTGGCCATGAGGACTGTGGTTCCCTGTAGAGGACAGAGACTGTTACTGTGGTGCAATAGTAAAATACAAAGAGCTTTACTCCTCTGAAGTCTGTTTTACTGAACACAAAACAGTGGAAAAGAAGTGTAGAGGCCACTACAAGCTCTCATAAACTCACTGGGATGAAGTACCGACGGTAAAATGCTCCACATGATATCTTAACGAGGTCTCTCACAAAGCGCTCGAAGGGAAATTAACTGTCCAAAGTCAGATAACTCCTTCAACTATCTACATTCATGGAGGCTTTCCTTACCAAGGGCCACTGCTTCTGTGTTGCTTCTGAAAGTCATGAGAGGCAGCAGGGGTCCGGGAGGGGGGATGACCACAAACGGAGAGGAGGGGGCCGCCCCGCAGAGCACCGTGGGAGGGTACTGAGCCCCTGAAGGGGGGGCAGCGCAGGACTGAACCAGCTGGGGGACCAGAGAGAGAAAAAGTAAGAAAACAAAAAGAAACCTGTAGGTCACGGCTCATTACCTACTCTTTGGTCTTGGGATACATAAAAAAAAAATACATAATTCAAGTCCAGTTAGTTTCTTTCGCCTCAATTATAGTCACGGTGTGAACCTACTCTCCTCTCAGTCACATATTTGGACCATCACTGCAGCTAATGAAGCTTTTCTTTGCGTTTCTGACTAACCGTGGCCCCCTGCTGCTGAGCACCCTGTACTGCAGAGTCCACCAGGCCCCTGTCCCCGTCACTGTGCAGGGCCACACACTTCATCCCTGCCATACGGTGCCTGAGACGGGCCACAACGCTGTCCAGCACACTCTCCTGCACGCACAGCACCCAGTGGACCTGAGCGGAGAGAGAGGAAGGGAAAAATGTTAACGGGACGGTTCGGATTTTTTGAAGTGGGGTTGTGCGAGGTACTTATAATAATAATCAGTGCATCTACTATAGAGGATACTCTTTAGTGTAACTCACCTCTCTTTTCTTCTTGAAGGCCACCTCTATCACTGCGTCCACTGCGCTGTCGATGTCGGCGGACTCAAAGATGATGAAGGGACACCTGGCGCCGATGTTCGGGGAGACAGAAACGGGAACGCCCATCCCCGCTGTGGCCTTACACAGCGACACCCCGTCCTGAAAGAGAGAGAAACATTGTTGCAATGAAGCAGGAAATGTTGGTAACATTTAAAAACAGTTTTGAAAGCTATTTCTAACAAATGCACAGAAGGGCTGTCAACGCTCTAGTCAGGAATGTTACAGCAGTTTCCTCACACGTACCTGCTTGTTGCCGCTGTAGGTGACGGAGCTGATGCTGGCGTTCTGGGCCACGCTGGCACCCAGCGACATGTCACTTCCTGTTAAGACATTAAGAGCCCCGGCAGGAAGTCCTGCTCCCATAATAAGCTGCGCCAATAGGAGCGCTGGGGGGGCGCTGGTCCGACCAGGGACGACGATAACGGAGTTGCCTAGAAGGAGGCAGAATAAATCAGAACTCAAAACAGAACATTATGAACAAAAATTGGATTTGATCAAAGGTGGAAATTTAGGCAAAATACTAGTTTGATAACAAATTATCCATAAGCAAAAACACCACATATTTAATGGTTTCGGCTTCTCAAATTTGTTGATGTCCCGCATCTTTCTATTCTAAGTCATTAGGAAACTTTTTCCATGTGTGTTTAATTGTGTGTGTGTTGTGTGTGTGTGTTACCCATGGCCAGTGCTGGTAGGACTTTGAGCATTAGGGAATAGAGAGAGCAGTCATCAGAGGAGACTACTGCCACCACACCTGGGAAACAGGAAAAACAAAAAAGGTTAAAAATAAATAAATAACTACCCGGAAATGAATACCAACACCAAATCCCCTGTTAACCTCACCCAGTGGCATCCAGTTGGCGATGAGAGTGTCTCTGAGCTGCGCCCAGCTGCTGTAGTACTGCAGCAGTCGGACGAGGCTGGAGAGCGAGCAGGACGCCTCGCACAGCTCGCACAGCTCCGACACGCACGGGCCGTGCTGCCCGAGAACGCTCGCCGACCTGTCAGCATAGAACGGGGCCGTTAATCAGTCAGCTCTGAGGTTCCTGGGATGTGTAGAGGCGAGTTTGTCCTACCTGAGCAGCACTTTGGCCCTCTGGTAGCAGCTCAGGTCCCCCCAAGCCTTGTGGCCCTTAACGGCAGAGGAGGCACACTGGGAAACGTCGTCCTGCGCGGCGCACACTGTGCTGCACACGTTACCGCCTGGAGAGCAGTGAAGAACGTGCATGTACATTGTTTTTTTTAAAGAGTTAACTGGAAGCTGTGCTGTTTTTTCTTGCACGGTGATCTCAGGCTGCTCTTACCGTTAGAATCAGCCAGGGAGCGACTCTGTCTGTCTGCCGGACGGACAAACTTGCCATTGATGAACAGGCCCAGAGAACGGGAATGGTGGTCCAGCCAGGCCTGGTGGAGAAGAGAAGCGTCAGTCGATGTTCAAGCTGCTGAGGAAGCCTAAAAGATGGCGACCAAAGCCGCCTCTGAGGACGGCACCAGGCTGATGGCGTTCACCATCATTAAGAAAAATGTGTCTCTATAAGTAGACGGCACTTAAAACAGCTCCAGGTATCCAACCTGATACCGACATCAGGATGACACAGACTCCAATAGCTGGATCAGCTATCAATGACAAATCGGTCAAATCTATTCAATTCAATTCTTTGTTTATATAATATATACAAATACTGGAATTTTAACCTCGGTTTCAATTCTGACCATTAAAAGAACGATACCAGTCTCTCCTACGCAGTGAGACATCCAAAACAGGGCTTTATGATAATATAATAGACAGTTTCCCACGTCTAGAAATCATTTTTCCAAGGCGTGTCGAGGACATTTTTCAGTGAGGATCTAGCTGGTGTGACAAAAAGATGTTCCTCCCTGTGGAGGTCTGATTCAAAAGACATGGATTCTATGGCTACAACCTTTCTATGCAATCATCATCTGAACCAAACATGCGGAACAATTTAGTGATGTTCAACCATTGGGAACAAAGCAATGCTATGTAATGCCACCCGATCTTCATGTGCTACCAAGTGACGGAACTTGTGAGTGGGGGGGGGGGGGGGGATATTGACTGTAAATAGATCTCAAACTGGAACGCTGATACACTTTCAACACATTCCCAAACGATGTGAAAAGGTGTGCTCATTTTCAAAACCTGTGTGTCTGAGAGAACGGGAATATCTCTTCAGATAGACACCACCACCTCTGCTGAACAGGGACTGATAAAAGACGGGTACGCCAGTCGGAGTGCGTCAACTATTTACAGACATGAAGACCAAAGTACAGAGAATTTGTGCAAAAGGTCTGGTGTCACGTTATAATATTCCACAGCTAATATGTATCTTTAGATGGCTGTAGTCAGTCTCCTGTTCCAGTATGAAGACAGACTGCAGCATGAGGTCAACTATAAAACAATATCAGTGCTGTTATATCAAACTACCATGACAATACATTTAGTGACTGTACTGGGACATGGCACCATTTTTATTTTTTTTTAAATGCAACATGAACCAACAAATTATTATCATACAGTGTGATATGCTCTCTGAATGGTATCCAAGCTTGTAACTGCTGCTTCAGAATATATAAAAAATACGCTGATAAAGATTAAAAATCTAACAAACGACCAACCCACATTTACCAACTGCTTACATCCGGAAGTCTTAGTTGTTTGATTTTAAAGACACCGAGTGGGACTAATTGGGAAGAAAAAAAATCCCCTTTAGAGGAAACATGTGTCCAAACATCTGGCCTTAGCCTCGACACTTCATAGCTAGTGCTGTACAGTCTAAGTCACATGTTTGTCTTGTGAGTTACAGACTGCTAACAGTTAATGAACTTCACATGGGTCAAACGGTCTGACAGGAATATGCTAAACCCGAGGGAAGACAACGACGGAGAGCAGAACATGCTAATAATATTAACTCATAAGCAGCATTAATTAGTGTTATTGCAACCATTGCCGTTCAATCTCTTTTTCTGTCGTGAATGAAGCTGACAGCTTTACCTGTGCAGTGGCAGTGCTGGAAGTTGCTGCTGGTCCGTACTCCATGCTTTGAAAAATATCGCGCACTGTCTTGGCGGTGCTACCAGCCATAATAGTTACAAGTCGGTGAGGATAGAAGTCTCCCTGGCGCTTGGTATTCGTTTTCTGGGTTTGCGTTTAGGGTGAAAACGTTTGCTTGGAAGTTTATAAAGTGGTAACTGCAAGGTATTGAGGGGAGAGGGCTAGCAGGAAGGCGACTGATGTCCCACTCCACGTCAAATGCAACGTGCTGCTAGCATCCCTCCCACTTGAACAACTTGCGCTGTAGAAATGAACGTGCAGAGATAACGTGACATACGTTGAGCGAGAGGTTTCCTTTCTGCTTACTTCCGGTGTCGTGTCCGGTTTCTCAGGGTTAATTTATAAGATTGGATTTAAGCAAACAACGTAGTGTGTGCGTGTGTGTGTTTTTATAAGCTACCGACAGCTATTTTAAATATATATTTTAGATGTATTTAAAATGTTGTTAAAACGATAGCTGTGTTTTAGCAAGTGGTTCCGCTCTGTGCTACGTGACACATGTTTGTAATTACTGTGAGCAGCTAATTAGATAACAGTTTAGTAACTGACCTATAATAAGTATTTGTCAACTTTACATTTTAGAAATTTGAGATACTTTACAACTCTTGCCATTATCCGTTGAATCAAAGGACCACCGCAGCTTCATGTTCCACACGGAGGCATTTTGTCAACGGACCCGAAAAACGAACGCGTACTCACAAGGAAGTGCGGAAAATTGGTGCGCCTTTTTCAGCTGAGTTGGCTCATATCAAAAGCTGGTGATTTGTTGTTCTTATCATTTATACAAGCTGAAATAAAAAAGGGAGTAGTAACCGGCCACAGGCAACACACGTAACACCTTTGAGAATGCCCCGGAGAAAGGTAAGACAGCTGTTTGCAGCAGACTCAGCCGTTAGGCTGCAGATCGGACACACAACAACATAACGTCACAGTTCATGTCAGCCAAACATCTAACTGTGTGGGAACACCTTCGACTGCATGTGAGCTGAAACGCGATTCTACAAGGCGCCATTAATAAGTTGTGGGTGTGTGTTGAATGCGGACGTTAGCAGTGTCGCTCGACTGAGCTATCGTCTTGTGCTGTTGCTCAAAGCTACGCTAGCTGTTTGTTGCTGAGTTGCAAGAATGTGTTGCAGTTTATTAAGCGTCACTTCCTCGTGGTGAGAAGAGCTCTGAACATTTGGCCTTTACGAGATTTGGTCAGATTTCTACCAGCTGGCGGAGTGCATGGAGGTGCTGACCTCCGTTCGTGTCAATAACGGCCGCTTTAACTGTTGGTAAAGGAACAGGCTGTCTTTTGAGTGCGAGGATGGAAACGAAGCGTCCGCACCAAAACAACGCTGTCATTGGACAGAATCTGGACAGGCGTTGCGTTCATTGGTCCGACTCTCTCAAACCCCGCCTCCTCTTTAATGTGATTGGTCGTAAAAAAATAATTCCCAACATGAAGTCCTCAGCTTCTTGTTGTGAAGTTGTCAAACGCGCTTAACGTCAAATGTGCGCTGTGGTCCACGCTGTAGTGTAGAATTTTTTTCATTTGTTTATTGTTTGTTACTGTCTTCTAGTACTATTAAAATGTAGTTTAATTTTTGTTACAATTAATAGACAAGAAGCCTTACTTATAATGTATAGTTATTTTTGCACAATTGCCACATTAATTCATATTAAGCATTGTACAGTGTACACTGGCACAGGGTACTCTCTTGCATAAAGTCTTATTTTAATTTGATTTGTATATGTGAGTAGCTTTAATATCATTTTGATTCATGGTGTAGCTCTTCTAATGTTGACCTTTTTTCTGTCTCTATCGCGTAACACCTACTTCAACCCCGTGTGCATCAATAAAAGGTTATCATATCCTATTAATATATTTTCTTGGGTGGCCCTGTGTAAAATCAATGTGCCATATGTAATAATTAGAAAAATATATAAATATGATTGTAAACTAAATATGAATTGAGTAAAATACAGAAAAATATACACATTATTATTGCACCCCATTAATTCATATTAAACAATTGTGGGTTGCCTAGTCCTATAACATTACATTTTGGTTATTATTTCAGAGGGTACTCGAGTCCTCTTGCCCCACCCCCACCCTGCCGGATTTTTGTGTCTCTGGTGGGGTGAGGTGAGCATCACCCCATTCATTCCGTGTGGCCGGCAGATAGGCAGCCTGCACTTTCGACAAATTATGCAGTGACACAAGTTCATGGGACGTTTCATTAGTTCATTTGTCTTTGCCGAGTTGTGCGTTTTTTTTTTGTTTTTTTTTGGGTAAATGTCTTCTAGTCCACTTAATTGACTACAAACTGGAGATTCTCGCGGAAGGTGCACTCCGGCGTTGGGGCAAATTGGGGTTGGTACAATAGATGCGATCGGCGTTAATCGGATTGTCCCCGTGTCAATGGCGATTAGCCTTATTTTAAGCATTTATCCATCGTGGCAAGAGGGGGCTCAGAGCCGGAGGAGATGCGGAGGGGGTGACGCTCCTCCCCCAGCATGGGATCTTTGTTGAATTACCCGATGGTAAAATAAAACAAACAAACAACAACAAACACACACAAAGCTTTGCTAACATCAGCCTCACATAATTTTGCTAACTCGTCTGATACTTATTTTTGCTGACAGTCCCGATTTTGACTTTAATCACGCTGATAGCTGATGAACGTTGTGGTTTGCAGAGGACCGCCGGCAGCAGCTCGGACGGGACGGAGGACTCGGATTTTTCTGCCGACCTCGAGCACGCGGAAGCTTCCGAGAGCGTGCACAGGCGCAGCAGCACGCGCTTGACTCGCGCTTCACTGCGCCTCAGTCGGAGCTCACAAGGTAAACGTTTCAAGTTTTTGTCTTTTTTGTAAATAGTCCAATGTAGAAAGAACAAAAATTATATATTATTAACTAATTTCATATATTCATATTCAATAAGTAAGAACAATAAGAAGATAGGGATGATACATTGTGGAATAAGAGACAACAGGAGGGTCTTTTAAAGCACTGAAAGGAATTCTTAAATGCAGGTTGTAGGTTAGCATCAGTGAGCTACATGCTAACGTGTCAGCTCTATCAAAATAGTTCTTATAGCTCAGCGGTTCCCAAACGTTTTAGGCCGCGCACCCCTTTCTACATCCCGACCGGGTTCACGCACCCCCAATCCCCCACACCTTAAAAAAAAGAAGCAACAGAGCCTATTTATAGCCGCATACAAATCGGACCAATGAGAGAACAGTTTGCTCGCGCGTGGCGTTTGTTTACAATATTTAGTCCGCTGTTAAATGTTGCAGTGTGAACACAAACCAAACAAAGGGGCAACTGCAACATTGTATCATATTAACCCCTGAATCAGAACAAAGCAAATGAACTGAAGGTGTGAAAACGCCCTGAAACACTGCAACAAAGTTTCAATAACTTTCAGTTACACAAGGCGTCACTTTTAAAGAGCAATAAGGATGGCGAGGACACACGCACAGACTCAGAGGCAGATTGCATCACATTTAATTTACAATTAACCATACATAGCATGAGACTGCAGTTGTTTTGGGCTGATTTGTAACTCCTCCAATTTTGATATAAAAAATGTAAGGGGCTTTTGACTTACACTGGCATGCTTGGTGTTCAGGTGGCGATGTAAATAAGAGGGCTTCAGACAGCTGTTAGCCAGAACCTCACTGCACCACGCACTTTGGCTTTGCATGAATGTTGCTGAATGAATGAAGTTAGCTGTTAGCTGACGTTAGCTGCACAAGCTAGGCTAGCAAGTGTAGGTAAAAGACAGTCTGGCGACAGGAGCTGAAGTGCATTTATTTATTAAATTGGACGTTTTTAATTAAAAATTTTAATCTTACAAGGGGAATTTTTATAGTTCATGTAACCGAGTCTTGGGTTCGTGTATAAGGGCACTTATCATACAGTAATAACAAGTCGGGAGATTAGACATCTTGTATCAGCCCACAGCTACTCTCTTATTATTGTTTTCTCCTTTGGCCAGAGGCGGGGGTTGCGCTTTCGCTACGGCAACCCTCAAGGGACATATCATCGTCAACACCAGAACGACAAACATGAGACAGTCTGTTACATTCATGTTTTTATTTTGTGAAAATTATATTTAATATTAATTATTACACCATTAGACCACCATTACATTTTTCCTCTCGCGCACTCCCTAGAGGCAGCTCGCGCACCCCTGGGAATCCCTGTTATAGCTCATACATTATGCATGTAGTGTTGAAGTAATTGCTTGGGTCGGTTGTATTATCAAGTTCAGGTAGTTTTAATTAGTTAGTTTCGGTTTTCGCCATGTGTTGACTGGCTTAGCATAGCATTCTACTATTAACATTGAATTGGGTCTAACTGCTGCACTGTAACACATTATAAACCTTATATTTTAAATTCAAAGTGTCACCCATGCAACGTGGTTGTAACTTTTTCTTAAAAGCCTAATGTAATAACACCAGTATTCTCTTTTCTTGGACTTTAGAAAGTTAGAAGCATATATTATTTTTTGGCCAGTTTTCCTTGTTGGTTTTAATTAAATCCATTTATTATAATCCAGTTTAGTTTTCTGCATTTTATTAGGGCCCGAGCACCGACGTAATCGGAGCGGAGGACCTATTGTTATTCTAATGTTTATTATTATTATTATTATTATTTTTATTATTATTATTATTACTTTTCCACTTTCATCGCAAAAAGGAGGTGCTTGTGATACTGGGAATTTTGTGAAATTTGGCACGCAAGCCAGAATTTGCGAAAATTGCAGTCTGATAGGGGTGTCCATCTGCGGTATGAAATATTGGCTCGATAGCTCCCCCTATTGAGTAGCCCCAACATCGGGTTTCACCTAGCTGTATGAAATTTGGTAGGTATGTGGAACGTGATGAGACGCACAAAAAATCCTCTTGGAGTTTTTCATTAAACCAAACAGGAAGTCGGCCATTTTGACTTTTATGACGTTTTTTGACCATTTCAAGGCGTTATACTTTAACGAACTCCTCCCAGAGATTTGACCCGATTGACTTCAGATTCGGTCAGTATGCTCTTGAGACCTTGGAAGTGAAAACTTACTCAAAGATCAAAAAGTTATCGAACTATGTGTCCGTGGCGTGGCGTCAAAAAAACACCATTCGCCGCGAAACAGGAAGTGGTTGTAACTCGGCCGTACATTGTCGAATCTGCTCCAAATCTCTCACATGTCATAACATCCTGACCCGGAACACATCTATGTAATAATTTAGAATCATAGTAATAGCGCCACCTAGTGGCAACAGGAAGTTGTAAGTTGTGTACTTTGACATCCTGCTCCTCACAGATTAATCAGATCCCTCTAAAATGTTGTCAGAACAGCCTTAAGACCTTGGTAATGCTTCATTGTGAAAATTGTAAGAAGTTGTTGAAGGGCGGTGACGTGGCGGCTCGGCGAATTTCGATCCTTCGCCATGAACGAATAAACTGATATAAATCAACTCCACATCATCAGATCTTTACCAGATTGCACATGTTTGATTAGACTCCCGGCCTGAAGACATCTGCAGGCCAATTTTGAATCATAGTCATAGCGCCACCTACTGGTAACAGGAAGTTAAAGTCATTATACTTTGGCTTGTTTCTCTTAGTAGGTAAATCAAATCAACATCAAATTACTTCCACACAAATGTAAGAAGTCCATGAAGCTTTTGATGTTTCGTCGAACGCCGTTGCCGTGGCGATGCAGTCTTCGCCGTTAACAACGAAGGTCATTTTGAGAGGCTAAAAATGCTCGAAACATAAGCAAACTTGGGCAAGCAGATTACAAGCCCAAAATTTAGTTGTGGAATATGATTTTATTGGTTCAGAGTGGCAAATCGGCTCAATAGCGCCCCCTACACAATTTCGACGAAGCAGCCCTCGCAGTATGTTTGACCTAGATGTATGAAATTTGGTAGGAACATGTATCACATATGGACTTAAATAAAAGTCTCTTGGGGCCATGCTCTAAACCCAACCGGAAGTCAGCCATTTTGAATTTTGTATGAATTTCTCGTGTTTTTTTTCCATTTCCAGGTGCTGTACTACCGACTCCTCCTAGGGAATTAATCCGATCAGCTTAGAATTTGGTCAGAACAATCTAAAGACCTTAGCGATTAAAAGTTACTAAAAGCTTTAGGTTTCATTGAACGACGTGGATATGGTGTGACGACCATTTTACATGGTTCACCATCATCCACCAAGCTGTTGTAACTCGACTGTACTTTGTCAAAACTGTCCCAAACTTGACATGCTTGTTGACTGTCATGGCTTTAGGACTTCTGCATGCCAATATTAACTCATAGTCATAGTGCCACCTAGTGATAAGCACGGACGTAAGCAGGATTCTATAATTACAGCGGCCCAAACACTGAACTTATTGAAAGGGTTTGTGGGCACACCATGAGAAAAAGACTTCTCTGATCTAAATATGTGCAAACTAAGATGCTTGGAGAGCAACAGTTAGATAACAGTGGATTTTCAAACCATGTCGGTGGGCATTAGTATAAATGATCTGTCCAGAGCTTCTTCATGACAATCAGGTTAAACGTTACAATGAATGCTTCACACTACAATCTAAAGTTACAGAAGAACTTAAAATGAAAACAGTGTTAAATTAAAGTGTTCAAGTAACAGCAAATGGCACTACTGTTTTGTTAACTTTCATGTAAGCCCAAATACAATCAGCAGGACACTGCAGGGAGTTGAATCCAAGCAAACTCTGTTATGTTACAAACACTGAAGCACATTCGAACACATTCATTTTCTTAATGATCTTTAAAGGCTTACATTTATGATTGTATCGGATGTACACTCAAAATATTTGAGGCTTAAGATCTGGCAACATGATCTTGCTACGCTGCTGGTCTACGCAGGAAATATCTCACTCGTGCACGCAGAGTGTGATGGTCACAGAAATTCATGGCCACGTCACCCAGAGTCCTGCCAGTACCGGGAAATACCGTTTAACTCATGCACGCAGTGTATGACCTTCACAGAAATGCATGGCCAGAGTCCTGCTAGTACCCTCGACATGCGTGAAGTTGTGAGGTCCCGGTCAATGCTGCTCACAGCTTTAATTTGTAATGAATTTTTAGTGGCTATGTTCTTCATTTCATACATATTTAATCATACATATTTATTACCGAGCCAGACATTTACAGTATAATTTAATTTAAGTGTCATTTGAATGAGGGAGGATGTTTTCGTTGTGGCTGCCGGGGGGGACTTACAACGGAGGAATAAAAGGCGACACTGTTTCCTCTGCTTATTGTTACTGAGAGAAGTTGGCTACGCTGTCCTCGTCCCTGTAGAGGCTTCATAAAAACACAGAGGCTGTTTTTTTCACAAAAAGAAGTGCATTCAGAGGTTCAGTCTTCCTTTATGCGGCGGGATTAATCTCTTCTTTATCATTGAGGCCATTTGCAACAAGTAACTCTGTCTTCTTCTTACCATTTTTGCATGGAGTTAGTCTGTTACAGACTGCTCAGGTTTAAATACATCAATCTAGAAATTACAAAACTTTTAATGCAGTTAAGTAGATAGTCTTTTGCAGTTTTTCCAGGTAGACAATTATAGTAGACAATTATTATTTATAAAAAAGTTTTTTTTTGTTTTTTATTA